CTTTGAAGCAATTAAAGATCTCCAGAACAACCTGTCATTTTTCAACACTCATATGAAAATACATGTGTCCAAATTAACCACAACAATCCAAGGTCAAGGTCAGTCACCTAAATACACTCACTGCACTAAAGAAAGAAAAATAAATATCTTAGAATTACATCAACTTCCTTAGTAGAGCTTCATGTTGGAAGCTCGTGGTGTATTTCCAGTCCAACATGGCTTAAGATCCCACTCAGTGTGACTGCTTTCCTGAGTGGTTCCCCACTCTCTGAGGTTACTTTGCACTTAAGTCTCATATATATTGAACAGAATTCAGTCTACCAAATGTTTAATACATCATCTGCTTGACTGGACCTTTTTGTACCCACAGGTGTATCAGCATTTATACATATTCCCCAAATGGCTGATGAAATATGAAGTTCCCAATAGATCTCAGCAGTATCATAATGGTATCTGAAGCTCTGAAAGGTTCATACACTCTAGCCAGTTAATCATCAGTCTGCCAGTGTGATAAATATCACTAGTGCAGTTGCAGGCACTCACTTGGGTGTGCAAGACACAAAAAAAGGGTTTCATCACACCATGTGATGTCTGGGGCAAGGGCCCCAAGTAATCTGGAGGCCCTAGGGAATATACAGGCAGAGAGATGTATATTCTGGGAATGACACAACATACCTGAGGTATGAAGTGCTTCCACAAGAATAATAACTAACTAAATAAAATCCATCTAGGTTAATAACAGGAACTAGTCCCCACTGTTCTAACTGGAAATATTTGTGAACAGGAGGAAAATTTGATTCACATATGCCATTTTGTGTCTTTGCTACTGAGTTTTCCTGGGAATGTTCCTGCCATTGTCTTGCAAATCTCTGTAGTTGCATCACTTTAAACTTGAATTGATTCGAGTGTCTTTACTGATGTTGCTTGGGTGAGTGAGGACAGATTTTTGATTCTCTTGGTCAAATTCTGCAGCCTTTACTCAAGCAAAACTCCAGTTAATCTTGAGGAGTTACAGGTTGTGTAAAAATCTAAAAATTATCGAAGGAGGAAGAAAAGGTAAATAATTCTTCAAATAGCTGCTAATTGTTATTTTAAATAGCCTTACATTTCTGAACCATTATCAGAAAGATGGCACTTGCAAACAGAGAGGCAATGGATACACCAGCTTAAAAAATGTATTTTGATTTATTTGCTTTAAAAGGTGGAATATAGTGTTTTCTCAGCTACAGAGCAGCTCTCCATTTGCAAAAACTCCTCATTTCTAATGTAGGTGTCTGTCTTAAAGGTATTTACCTTGAAGAGAGCATTTTCTGTTCTGTAGCTCTCCTGTCTCCTCCCTCTCTTTCACAAACACACACAAGTCACGTTGCTCGACAGGCAAAGCCTCTCTGCCCACCCAGGCCAATCTTTGATGTTGCACACTCCAAAGAGTTAAAGGTATGTGTTGCTGAGTCTGGTACACATGTGCTGCTCTTAGTATGGTACTGGTTTGAAGAGTGGCACTAGAACCTTTGCTGCTTCTGCAAACGATGAGCCTGTGGCATTAAGCTTGGAAGTGAAAGCCTCATGTGTCTCGAATACTCAGCGGATCTAATTAACAGGTAGAATCGCACCCTGGCTGCTTGAAAAATTGCCAGACACCATAGAAACGAGTCCTTAAGTCCCCAGACCATCTGCACTTTCTTTTCATTGTGGAAGTCTCATTGAAACATGTTTTTCCACCATTCTAAATTCATTTGTGCATTAATGAAAAAATT